AGCCGAAGTCAGATACTTAACCAACTGAGCCACCCAGGCACCCCTGGAAGGAATCATTTAAATTAAAATCCAGCTCTTCCACAATTTTCCCCTCCAACACAGTTACAAAAAGAGTAAGTCTGAAAGAGTTGGAGATGAAAGATACGGTGATGGGGGCGCCTGGGTGGCGCAGTCGGTTAAGCGTCCGACTTCAGCCAGGTCACGATCTCGCGGTCCGTGAGTTTGAGCCCCGCGTCGGGCTCTGGGCTGATGGCTTGGAGCCTGGAGCCTGTTTCCGATTCTGTGTCTCCCTCTCTCTCTGCCCCTCCCCCGTTCATGCTCTGTCTCTCTCTGTCCCAAAAATAAATAAACCTTGAAAAAAAAAAATTTAAAAAAAAAAAAAAAAAAAAAAAAAAAAAGAAAGATACGGTGATAGATTTTCTTCATACCCAAGAACATCTGGCCTTTTCCCACCATGCAATGGCAGTGACTTTGCAGTAGATTACAGGTTACCCATGAGAGAAAGACCATCTGTCAATCAAAACAGCCTCCCATTCCTTCAGTAGATGTATTTTTTTAAAGACCTTTTATATATTGTACTTGTGTACATCTACTTTTTTAATGCATTGGGGCAATTTGATTTTTAAAGGAACCTCATTTGTCATCAAATAATTCTTAAATCTACCTCCTCATCATTATCTTTAATATCATGAGCTTTATTCGCATGCATATTTGTCTAACTTGACTATAGCAGTGGCTTTCAAATAGGTCTCTCCGCCTTCAGTTTCCTCCCATGTAATCCACCCTTGACATAGCTGACTCATTCTGATGTTTAAAAGCATGTTTTTATACATTTAAAAAGTGTTATATTCATTCAACAAATATGTACTGAGTACATTCTGTGCTAGATATTATTCCAGGCACCGGGAAACAGCAGTGAACCAAAGGAACAAAAATTCTTGCCGTCAGAGAGCTTATATTCTGTACAGTTCATGATTGCCATTATTACATATCTTTCTCCTATATATTTTTTTGTTACAAATCATGGCAGATAATAATAATGATGTTGGTGACATCAATGAGGGTTTTCATTTTATTGAACATTTACTATGTGTCAGCCATTTTGCTGAGCTGCTTACCTACAGATTATGTTGTAACAACCCACGAGGAAGTTATTATGATGCTGATTTTGTGAATGAGGAAATTGAGACTTAGTTTAATAAATCCAAAGTCAGAAATAAAAAAAACATGTTGGGGGCAAGATTTGATTCTGGCACTTTCTTTCTTCAAGGCTGTGGCCACTACACTACACATCTTCTCTTAGATGTTCAAAGGACTGCAGAGGAGGAAAAAACTTCCTCTAACTTCCTAGGAACTTCTTTAGTAACTGGAAGCCTGAGAATTGAACTGACAAAAGACAGATTAGCATGAGTAAAAAATAAAGTTTGTTTGCATATGTGCAATGATCATACATGTGTGAGTACTACATGATGAATAACCCGAAGGGATGAGTAGAACCGGGGGGCTTATATACCATTTTAACAAAGGGTGATAAATTGTGGAGAAGTGGTTTGACAAGGGAAAAAGGGGTTTGGCCTCTAGCAAGGGTAAATCATGGGAAGGTGACTGGGAAATACATAAGGTAAACTGATGATAGATACAGATTGTTCATGCAGACTCATTTCAGGGCCATCTCGGTGATAAGAGTCATTCTCTTCTTCCTGGTATGGGAGAGGGGGCACCTTTACAAATGGAAATTTCCTTTATGAATGGAAATTCCATTTACAAAAGGGAAATTTATGCCCTGCTTTTAGGCAGATAGGGGAGAGCAGAGAGCTCTTCCTGTGTCTGTTGTTTCTTTATTGCCTTCAGCTTAAAATAGTCCTTATGCCAAAGTGGCATTATTTTAGGGTAGCAGATTCTGATCCCTTTCAGGATATATGAATAAATAACTGAACCCCTATATAAGCTCTTTGTAAGGCAAATAACTACTACAATAATCTGTTTATAAGATGAAAATTTTATATATTCGGTTCATCTAAGGCAGCAGTTTGCTCTTCAGAGGACATTTGGAGGGATTTTTCACAGTTATGACTGAGAGTGGGGGGTGTTACTGGCATCTAGTGATAGAGGCCAGGAGAACAGATCTCTACAACACAGAGAATTATCTGGCACAAAATATCGTAAGTGCTGAACTTGAGAAACTCTGACTTATAATGAGGCAGTTGTAAATGCTCAGTAACATTTAAACTCTTATTTTTTCTATGTTTTAAAGTCTCTGACTGAATGTATTCTTTATGTACTGAAGTAAACCTTGTTTATATTTTAAAGGCTTCCTCCCCTGCCATCATTCAGTTTAAATTCAGTAATAGGCTTTCAGGGGGAAAAAATTGCCTATCAGTTGAGTGCAAGCAGGAGAGGGCCAGAGAGAGAGGGAGACAGAGGATCTGAAGCCGGCTCTGTGCTGAGAGCTGAGAGACTGGTGCGGGGCTCAAACCCACGAACTGGTGAGAGCATGACCTGAGCCCAAGTCAGATGCTTAATTAACCAACTGAGCCACCCAGGTGCTCCACAGTTGAGTACTTTTTAAATACACATATTTCTAAGTTTTATGTACCACTTTACTCAATTGTTTATGAAAATATTGACTTAAAATTCTAATATAATGCTTTTATAATTTAAAAATATAATTCATGTTCTTTTCTTCATATATAAAAATGATTCCAAAGGCCACTGGTAGTAAAGTCTTCTGTAAACTGATTTCCTCATGGTAGTGATGGGAATGCACTGAGACATCAGCTTTGTTAAGTCGTCATTCTGGTAGCCATTTGGAAAGTGGTGGTCTGGGTACAAATATCTGGTATGTGACTATGGAACAGTTGTTCTTTGCAGGAAACTAAGTGATCTGTGTTTGATTCAAATCTGTGCTATTGATCCTGACAGCATCATGTTTTCCTATTAAGTTCCAAGAACTTTCCTTGGCCTTCACAGTCTCACTTCATGATTTGAAATTCAAAATATAAATTCATATGACAAAAATGGAGGTCATAGTCATTTAATTATTTTTCTTTTCCCTTAAAAGCAGTCCTTAAAAGTTCTTTGGGGTTGGGTGCAGCCCTTGAAAAGGTGAGCAGATACAGAGATCTCCCCTGTTTCCTTTTCCTCATTACTTAAAACATCAGAGGCCTGGAATTTACTTGTTCATGAAGTTGTCTGTTTCTTGACAGGCATTAAAATCAATAGGCAGTTTTTGAACACCCATGCATAAAAGATGTACACTTTCTTAGTTCAGCATAAATTTCTGCTTATAGACCAGAGTACCATAGTTGCTATACCCCATCTGTTCCATAATACTGTAAGAGATTAAGCATCGCTCATTCTAGTTTATATCAGTGTTTGACATATAACATTCGTCCCAATGAGTTTTGGAGTTGCCTCTCAATTATCTTGAGAAGAAAAACTTGAGATTTTTTGTGTATAAACACAGAAAACAAAGTATTACAATCTTTCTTAGAGCTTTTTTTTTTTTTTTTTTTTAAATAATGCTCATTATTCTTACTCATTTATTCAGTAGTTGTCATGAAAACTACACAATTTTGGCCAAATGACCAATATGACCACTGCTTCACTGCACCGTTTCTGCTTAAGACAAGAATGGTGTAATCTTGGTCATTACTACCAAGGGAACACAGGGAACATTGAGTGTGAAATACGACACCTATAATTAGGAAGACTCATGGTTAAACCATAGCAGTTTTAAAGATGAGGTAATTTTGACAGTGTTGGAAAAAAAGCAGCAATTAATCATGAGTTTTCAACGCAGTTTATTTAAGACACAGTATGCTCTGTAAAAGAAATGCCTGCTATCTGTTGTCCCTAGAGGGGTTAATGTGGCATGCTATTAAGAGTATAGAATTTGAAATAGTGTCCAAATCCCTAACGTTTTTAAAATTCTAACTTCACAGGCCCTTATAGCACCTCCCCGGGATCCGGGCGGCCGGTAGGTAACAAATGAAGAAAGTCTGGGAACAGCCAGCGACTTAAGGAATCATGTTTCACTAAGAAAAAAAATAGAAGGGCTGCGATTAGATTAGACAAGGTGGGAAAGGGATATTGGCAGGTAATGCGCAGGAAAGTTACAACTTGGGTTATTTTTTAACTGGCGCCCTACAAACGGCCCGCGTGTAGGTGTCTCTCTAGCTAACTTGTAAATGAACTTCAGGTTCTCGTTAGCAGAGGCGACTTCTGAATCTGAGAACCTGGCGGCGGTTCAACGACCCCGCCCTCGGGGTCCCCAGGGGGCATCTTCTGGAGAGCCTGATTGTCTGGAACGCGGGCCCCGAAAGCAAACACAAACCCGTCTTGCTGCCCTCCGGTGGAAACTTCCCCGGCCGCGAGCAGAGCGGGAGGGGGCGGCGGGGCGGCGGTTCCCCTCGCGGAGGCAGAGAACTGCGCGCACGAGGCTCGGGTCGCGCGGCGAGCGCGGCGGCCGCCGCCTCCTCCCCACCTGCCCCGGCGCTGCCTCCTCCCTCCGCCCGGCTCGGCCTCCCTCGCTCCCTCCCCTCGTGGCTGGCTCCGGCGGCGTCGGCGGCGGCGCGGCGGACGGGGAGGGCGTGCGCCGGCCGAGAGGTGTCATGGCGGGGGTGAGGAAGGAAGTTTCAAGTGGAAGGTCGTCCGCCGGCCGGCGCATGTCCTGCCTCCTCCCGGCAGCAGCACCCATGTGAGGAGCCGAGCGGCTCGCCCGTGCACGTCCAGCAGCCCCAGCAGACAGCCCCAGTGACAGCAGCGGCGGCGGCCCCGGCAGTCATGACAGCGGGCGGCGGCCCCGGCAGCGCCCGCGCTCGGGCCTGGCCTCAGCCCCAGCCCGGCGGCACAGGCCGTCGGCTGGCCCATCTGCAGGGACATGACCGCGCACGAGCCAGGAGGGACACTCGGTCAGTGCGGAGCAGCGGGGCCGGCCCAGCCGGGCGCCGAGGCCGGGAGGGAGGCGCGGCCGGGGGCGGGAGGGTGGGAGGTCTGTCTGCACACGCCCGGGAGAGCCAGAAACTGCAAGCTTCGGGGCCTACCGGCTTCAACAGTATTTTTTTTTTTTTTTAATTTATTTGTTCGTTCTCTGAGCGCTGGTGCTGCAGGAGGCGGCGCGGCGGATGTGACTCGCACTGCAGACGAGCCGCATGCTGCAAACTTTTATCTCCCGATCGCCGGGGCGGCGGAACAGGGGACCGGCAAAGCCGCCGCATCACCCTCCTCCCGCGCGATGGGGCCGCAGCCCGTGGCGGGTGGCCACGCAGGCAGGCAGTCGCGGGTGAGGTGGGGTTGCGGGGGCGCCGCCCTGGGCTTCCAGCGCCCCCGCGCTGCGCCCGGGGGGCCGCGTCCTGGGGGACTCTGCGGGCGCAGCCGCGTCTCTGCTCTTCAAGCTCCGCGCCCTTGCCTCCTGTCAGCGGCCTCACGCCGTGGGTAAGGGGGCCAGGTAGGAGTCGCGGAGGCCCAGGTTCTTTCCCGAGGTTGGGGAGGATGCCGGCCTCCCTGGCAGCCGCTGCTCCGCGCCCGCCTTGCAGCCCGGCGCGCCCCGGTACCCGCCTCTCGGTACCCTGGCGCGCCGCCTGCCGCCCAGCCTGGCTGCCCGGGGAAAGCAGGCGCCCTGGCCTTCTGCCCTGCACCGGGCCGGTGCTTTCCTCTGGTTCAGGGCCGAGCTGCAAGAATGAAACCCGAGGCTTTCTGTGATCTGCTTCCTGCCATTCGGTGCCATCTAGTCGGCTCACAAGTATCACCTTATCTTACATTTTTAAAAGCCTGGCAAAGTCAACGGCAAGAAGCCGGCATTACTTTTCCTTAGGCCGAGCACGTGAAAGGCCAGGAGATTTGTGTTGACCCCTTCACTTAGAACGGTTCCTATCGGATCGTCCTTTTTGAGAGTCTTGTTAAACCTAGTTGGGGAAGCCTCCAGGCAAAGTACACCCTCAGCTTCTAACCTCACTGGGGCTGGGCTAGGACGTAGTTTTCCCATATCTTGATGTTTAAGTACTGTGATGAAAAAGGAATTTCGGATATTTTATGTTATGATTATTATTTGCTTTTCTTTTAAAAAATTCTCCACACCCCCTTTAAAAAATTAAAACAGAATTTCATTGGATGTTTAAATGAGCCTTTATCACCTGCCACTGTGTGAATGAAACAGCATAGACCGAGATACGCATATATTTCATATATATGAGAAAATGATGGGCCAAACAGTAACCTAGGATATAAAAACTTCAAATAATCTAAAAGAGACATCTCTATATAAAATTCTTTGAAAACCCAGGCTTTAAACAACTTTGGGCCAGAGATTCTCAAGGAATGTGTCTTTGTGTCATTGGCTGGATTAAATCACCTTAAGGGCTTTTCAAAGCCTATTCAGTGAAGAGTGCTTTAACCTGGCATATAAGCCCCTTCAGTATTTCAGTGTTACTGCCTGCCCTCAACAGGCTTGCCCCTTCCCTTATTCTTCTTGTACTGATTGTACCCTGAGTATGCTGCTGTCCTGTGACACATGGTTTTACATTCCTTATTGCCTGGGCACAGGCTTCTCTCATCCGAGTGCCCATCTTTGTAGTGAATCTCACACAGTTCCCGAGGCTAGAGAGAATTTTCTTTGAGAAGCCTTTTGCTTCTCCTGAGGCAAAGTACATTGACTGATCTCCTCTGCCTCTCCTTTTACATGCTTCATAGCAAGCATGTAACCCCCTATCTTTTAATTTGTGCCACAAAATTTAAGGGCTTACTGTGTCCCAAGCATTGTGCTAGATGTTCAGAAGCATACAAGTTAATGAAAATGGCTCCTGCCCTCAAGGACTTCGGTTCTAGAAGATGTGATGTGTGAGCACTGGGAGAGCACAAAGGAAGGGGGAGGGGAACACAGGAACACCAGAATTTACTTATCAATTTATTTGGTCATTTTGTTAATTATTAGAGTTAAAATGTGGGCTTTGCCTCTTGAAAACATAGTATTTTGAGTTGACTAGTTTTGTGAATTAATGAATAAAATCTTAAGTGAAGGGATTAAGTGCAGGGCTTCTCTCTGCTCACAGTAACAGCATTGTTAATTATGGTTGGTCAATTTACCTAAGGAATTTGAGAGCAAAAACACCTGCTTATTACTTCTACCCCTATTTTTGTACATTCAGACTGTAGGCATGCCTTTTCTCCATTTTAAATTTATCTCGTCTGTTTTCCAACTAAAAGGTGGTCTGTGTGGAGGCCATGTTATTGAAAAATCAGAGCACGGGAATAGGGTTTTGCAAGAGCTTAATGTTTATAGGGAATTATAAACCCATTTCCATTTAGTGTTTAATGCTAGTTGAGTGATTACAAGTGAACTTGTGGTTAAGCACTTTTGCTTAAACATTACATGCAGGAGAGTTAGTAGTTCAGACACTGAACTAGTTTCAACATGAATGCGGGTGGAGAGCCTTTGCCTCCCCTGTCCGTGTGGCAGGTGTCATATGATAGGGCTCCAGCAATGTGAGCTGTGACCAGCAGGAGGCTCATATGTCCCTGAGCAGAAAAGACCAAGGGAGGCACCGTGTTTTAACTTTACAGCGTGGCACAGAGCACTTTTTCTTCATTTCCTTCTGCGCAGAGATTGGGGCCTCAGGATTATGAGAGAATAGGTTTACAAAAGTCCAAACAGAGCAGGTTCATTTGTTTGACTCCTGTTTTAGAAGAATAAACACAGGATTTTGCAGGTCTAAAAATAAAGGTTTCTTGTGGCATTGCTGTTCTTTTGTTGTAAAAGATCAATAGACAATTTGTAATGCTCTTAGGGTTAATCTGGTTCAGAAGTTTATGCATGACCTGGAAATGATGTAAAGTCTGTTGGAGGGATTGAAAATGTTGTGAAGTTATTAGGTTCCTCCTTTTAGCCGTCGATACCCTTGTCATAGTAGATTTCAAATATTCGTCTCCTAAATAAGGAATGGCTCTTGGGAGGTTTTCTAGCCTCTTTATACCCTTCAGCCTCATTAACCTTTGTTCCTTACCTCTCCCCTTCATCCCACCCTAAGATTGTTTCTTTAGAACTATCAGGGTTAGCCAACGATAAGACAATTGAAAAATTCGTTTCTTTGTTGGTGATGTCAATGGTATTACCTTTGTTGAACAGAATGAACAGTGAATCGTGTAAATGTTGTCTTCGGCATCTGTTGTAGAATTGAACAACCTCAAGGAACTTTTCTGGCAAAGAGCTGTGGTCGCTGCAACACCAGTTTCTGTATTTGAGTCAGATAATGGCGTCAGGGGCTGTTTTCTTGGCTGATTTTCCTCAGAGAAACCCTAAACTGACTTATGCCTCAGAGTAAGTTTGATTTCCTTAGATTTTTTGCAGGATAAGCCTTTCTTTAGTTTTGTATTTGGTTTCTCAGGTTGCTTCATTTTGCCCTGAGTGGTCATTTAGAATGATCTAAAAGTGATACATTTAATTTTTGGTCTCAGTCAACAAAAGACTTTGGTTCCGAGAATCCTAGCTATAGTTTGATGGAGGGCTCCTCTGAATACTTTATTTCTCTCCTGTGACGCTTTGTTTAACCATTCAGATGCATCTCCCCAAACCCAGACAATAGGGCATACAGCCAGGTTTTCAAGCAGCCTTTCCTAAAATGAGACCTGCCAGCAGCAGCCCAGAGACCTTCTGCCTCACTCTGTGCTCTCAGAGTTTGTGCGGGTTCTGTGGTTTAGGGATTAGAACTGGTTTTATGGATACTCTAGAGGGATCTTGAGGACGTTGAGAGCTACATTGGGTCACAGTCGTTTTTCTAGGACCTCAGAGGGCCCAGGCACAGAGTGTGTATTTTGATCTTCCAGACCTTTAAACTGGGCTGCTTTGCTGCTAGTGTTAGTTTGCTAGTTTGGCCATTTTATTTTATTTCATCTTTTAAACTAAAAGAGCCCTCAGATGTATGGCCTAAGACAAGGCTTTGATTTTCATATCATTTCACCTATTTTTGTAAAGAGAAAAATATATATAGAAATACTCTTTTTGTACTTTTGTATTATTGTGGTAAAATATGCAAATACCACATAAGATTTACAATCTTAACCGTTTTCTAAGTGTATAATTCAGTGGCAGTAGTTACGTTCATAAGAGAAATGCTCTCTTATAGAATTCACCTGTGAAACCATCTTCACTTAAAGTTTGTGTTTCTTTTTGAAAGTTAATGTATTACTCATTCAGTTAATGTATTTGCTATATATTGTATTTACTATTTGGATTTTGTCTTTTACCTTGGTCGTTTGTATCTTTCATGAAATTTTTATCTTTTTCAAGTTTATCAGTATACCTTTCTGCATAATTTTCACTTACTCTCCCATTTAAATAACAGCTTCAGGGTGCCTGGGTGGCTTGGTCGGTTGAGCATCCAACTCTTGGTTTTGGCTCGGGTCATGATCTCACAGCTCATGGGATTGAGCCCCACATAGGGATCTGCACTGACAGTGTCGAGCCTGCTTGGGATTCTCTCCTCCTCTCTCTGCTTCTCCCCGACTCATGCGTGTGCTCATACTCTCTCTTCTCTCACAAATGAAAAAACATTAAAAAGATAAACAGCATTAATGAAGTATACTTCATGTACCATACAATTCATCCCTATATACTGAACGGTTCAAAGTGGATTTTGTTTTTTGTTTTTCTATATCCACAGAGCTTTTCAACAAGGATAACAGTTTAACAGTTTTAGAACACAGAAATGCTCTTTTAAATGTGCTGTCCAAAATGCTATGTGAGAAAATTCTCTAGGTAGAAAAGAAACTTTTGGTAGAATGACTACAGTACTTTATGCTTTTGATTTGTGACCAATAATATTATGAATTTTTCCCTGTCTCTGATAGTCTGTTATACACTACATTTTTGATGATGTTTGAGAATAAATTAAAACATTGCAGGCTCTGGAGTCAGATGGCCTGGTCTATTTCATATCCTGGCAATAGCAATCACTGGCCTTGTGACCTTGAGCAAATTACTTAGATGTGTCTGCACTCAGTTTCCTCACTTGTAACATGGAGATGATAAAAATAGGGTTGTGAGGATTGAGAGAATGTAAAGCACTTAGAAGAGTGCCTGGCACAGGGCATGCTCTCAATTAGTCTTAGTCATAACTACTAAAAGCGACATTTGCTAATCAGATTCAAATTATCAGGAGAGAACACAGCCCTGTCTCTGGTGAGATGTTGGAGTGGCTTGAAGCGTTTTCTCTGCTCGCTTTTCTAGCCAGGGCTGTGGGGGGGTTGTGGGGGGGAACAGGAGGGGGAGTTTGCCGGCTTCTGGCCTTCTGGTGTGTGGCTGGAAGGGGGCTTGCCGGGGGGGGGGGGTCCCCAAAGCTCACGCATGGGGGGGTGGAGTGGCCTCCAGTCGCACCTCCCCTCTTCTGCAGGAGGAAGCTGAGGGACCTGTGGAGCTCCTGGTGGTTTGGAGAGCTCAGGGGTTTGGGTGCCAAA